CTAGAAAAGAAAGGAAAAGCCATTTGAAGAAAGAAATAAAGAAAAATGACTCAACTAAAATGCAAGAAGCGACACAAGACAAATGTGAGATGGGAATTGAACGTCCAAACTCACGTATAAAAATGCATCGAATAATTATTGCATCATTGGACTTGGATATATGCGTACACATATATATTTAAGAGATATAATATTGCTAATCATTATACACGGTCTAGAAAAGGAAGCATGGTGCACTTAAATATCCATGCGCCTCTACATAGATTCATCGGTACCATAGAATGATATTATGGAGAAGTGTCATACATATCCATCAACAAATGAAGATAGAGAAGATATCAAAATTCAAAATAACCACTGAAAATTTTCAATTTTCTCTCCCAGATGACGGCCATTGAAAATTTTCTCCTTCATTCATCGAACAAATCTCTGAAAATAGGCAAACTCTCCATATTTGTCATAGAAGGGCGGTGTTACCGATTCCCCCCTATTGCAACCCCTAATTCTGATATGTAAGTTGCTTCTAATACCATCTTCATCATTGATTACATCGCAACATTGTCGTCGTGGTGCCTGGTTTTTGATACAATGGGTTCACCATAATTAGATATTTCATAAACCAAAATTGGTCTATATATTTTAGGTGAAGAGTTTTGTACATGTATAGTCATCAATCTTATGACAGTAAAATTAATAAGAAAGATTTTTATCAAAATAAATAATTAATATGTCCTCTATATTATTTTATGCGGACTCAATTTAATGTTAACATAACATGTCTAAGATCATGAGTTTTAAAATTCTTTACTTTTTTTTTTTAACTTTGTACCCTAGTCAAATATGATTCACATAAAACTTACAAATGGTAGAAGTTTACCTGTCTCCAAACTTGGGGAGGTAGAATAGTAGTTGTGACATTAACCATATGAAGTGCTAATGCTGGTCTATAATGTTGGTTCTCGCATTGTTCATTTGTTTCACCAATTATGGTACTATAACTGGTCAAAATTTCACCATTGCGGAGGTCAACAACTTGATCCAAGTAGAACTCTATAGGCCTTTTGCACGCTTCTACATTGCTTGGCTGTGTACTGAATGTGAATGGTTCTTTAGACCCTTTCCATGTCTTGAACGTTTGCATTGGCATCTCCAGTTCTCTTGCATTCATTAGCCATGGATATAATTGAATTGAGAATCCCCAAGACACTGACAATGACCAGTTTCTCTTTAGGTCATAGCACAAACTTTGTTGCATCGTCCGACTTGGATCCTTGTTGTAAGCCTCAATTACCTTCTTCACTGACTCAAATTGGCTCATTGAAGGAATCAAAGGATGTATCAAGTATACATCCAAATGGTGCAGTGAGACAAGTGGCGCCACGGGATGTGCTGCCAAAAGCCCTCGTGGGCTACCTTGTATATCCATCTTAAAACAAACACATATAAAATGGTAAAATAAGAAGTTTAAAGTGCATTAATATCTTTAAATATAAAAATATATTATTTTTTTGGACAAATAAAAAAAGTATGTCACATAAAATGGAATAAATGAATTATTTGATAACTATATATGTGTAAAACTACTATATCAAATTACTTTAGGATTAAAAATACTTAAAGTATTCGTTAAATTATAGAGTAATAAAAATAAATTATTTGACTCTCCAAATAATAAAGATATCATATAAATGTGATAAAAGCTCTATAATGAGATGAGACGACACATATAGTATATAATTGGTAAAATTGCCCTTATAATGTTACTACACCCTCCATTTCAAAAAGATTTATCTTAGTTTAATATAGCGGGGGGCTGGGGTTAGGGGTGGATCGGGTAGCAGGGGAGGTAGAGGGGGCAAGGGAGCCTATAAGTTGAGAATCGGGTCATATAACATAGGTTCACTAACGAGTAAATCCATAGAGTTGGCGAAAATCTTGCAGAAGAGGAAGATT